GTACGATGTGTTGCCGTTGTTTTGTCTTCGAGGTGATGCCCCAGTGCTAAGAAGTGGGATTTGTGACCGTTGTTTTGGGTTTGGAGTGATGCCCCAATATTAAGAAATACGATTTGATGCCGTTGTTGTGCAGTACTAAGAAATATGATTTGATTCTGTTGTTTTGTCTTCAAAGTGATGCCCCAGTGCTGAGAAGTACGATTTGCTGCCGTTGCTTTGGCTCCGAAGTGATGCCGCAATTTTAAGAAGTACGATTTGTTGCCGCTGTTTTGGCTACGAAGTGATGCCCCTGCTCAGAAGTACGATTTCTTGCCGTTATTGTGGCTTCGGAGTGATATCGCAATTTTAAGAAGTACGATTTATTGCCGTTATTTCAGCTACAAAGTGATGCCCCAATACTAAGTCATTAAATTTCGAAGTGATATCCCAATACTCAGAAATTCCCTTTGCTACCGTTGTTTGGGCTTCAAATAATTTCCCAATATTAAGAAATACATCTTAATATCTTTATTTTGATTTCGAAATGATATATCAATGCTAAGAAATATGATTTATTATTATTCTTTTATCTTCGAAATAATATCTCAATATTAAGAAATATGACTTTATATCGCTATTTTGACTCCGACATAATACCCCTCTCCTTCCTCTAGATATTAAAATTTAAAAATTTCTATTGATTTTTTGAAAGAATAAATAATAAAATTCATCCTTCCAGATATCAAAATATTTCTACGCTTAGAGAGACTTAATAATAAATCAAAAAATCGCGCAGAAAAATAATTAAGAATATCTAGAATTTCATATTTATATTTCAAGATAAGAAATTTTGAGAATAGTTCTATATTCGATAGATATATATCGAATTTAAATCCCGCTCCATATTTTCATATAATTTAATTATTAAATTTGATTTTCCTATTCAGAGAACTAAAATCTTTCCCGCTTTCTTTCTATAAAACAAAAATATTCGATACTAATCTTCTTTAATTAATATTTCTTATATATATATATTCTTATATTCCAATCTCGTCTCGAATTCCATATAATTCCTCAAATCTATATATAAAATTTCGATTTTTAAATAATGATTCCATTATCCCATCTATTCAACTCATATGCCACTTCCTTCAAATTATAGAATATATTCTTTCATAATTTCTTCTTAAATTGATTTAATCAAAATTATTTCAATTATTTTTATCAGAATTCAAAAATCCATATAGAAATTACTAGAATTTTTCATTTTTATTAAATATATATAATATTCTATATCAATTCTATTTATTTCAAGAGCTATTTTCTTTTTCCTTCCTAAAATATAGATTATATAAATAAGATCATTTGATTATCCTCTTCCATTATTTAATTGAATCGATTCTTTTACTTTATGAAATTCCATAATTATATCCAGGAATTGATACTTAACCAAAATAAATACGAATATCTCTGCCTTCTTTCTAATTATTAATTATAATATCAATGCTGAATAAGAAATTGAGTCCCTGGATCGAATATATATTAGAATCTTCTATATCTAAATATATAAAATAAGAAATTCAAGACCTCCTATTCCCGAAATCGAATTTCTTATCCAATTTCTTAAAGCCATGCTTTGCCTCGTTGCCTCGTCTGCCCAGCGTCCCCTTGCTCTGGAAGCCTTGGCAAAAGTTGAATGCCTCTCACAAACTGATGAAAGGAAGCAAACCTTGGCTCAGAGGATTTCTCTGTCTCAATATCTACCTATCTGGCTATCTATACACACGGGAACGCTTACGGGTCATGCGACAACTGTTTGTCGGACAGGTGACGGCAGTTGTTTCTTAATGGTCCTCGGAACAAGGATGCTGCTACTTCGTGTCTCTGTTCGGTCCCGTATTGTCTCAAACTGCCATCTTGACGCCCTATATGTACTCACACACTTCAAGCCTCGCGGTTCTGTGAGCGATGGCGCTCCTTAGACCTGAGCACCCGTGAATCTATACCGGCACCAAAAAGAACCCAACCTGACATTGTCAGCGCCCAGAAGCAGCTAGAACCCAAACCCTTGAGCCCTAATGACTTACCGGAAACCCTAAATACCGCGAGCATACCCTGGAACTTGACCCTGACTCGAAGCGATAACAGACATGCAAGAAGCCGGAACCTCATCCTGAGACTCCCTTTGCTTCTTCACCCTAAACCGTAAGCCCCAAACCCTAAACCCCCTTTGCTTCTTCAAGCGGCTGATCAGAAGACAGCAAAAGCAAAAAAGATGCTCGAAGATTGCAGAGCCAAACTCTGCAGGCCGAAGGCCGTCCAGGTTGTAGAGAGTAATGGTTTGGGGTTTGGGTTTGGGGTTGTTTAAGGTTTGCGGGTTTGGAGTTTGGGGTACTGGGTCCAGGATTTTGGGTTGACGGTGCACGGGCTTAAGGGATAGCATGGGCGTAAGTTGGGATTCAATGCTTGTAAGGCTAAGGTTTCATTGGTTTGCGTGGGAATGTATGGCATGCTGTAGCATAGGGAAAGACAAACGCAAACGCACGAACTGCTCTGACCTGTCGGGTGTTTGCTACTGAAGGCGTAACCTTCGGGTTTGGGGCTTAGGGTTGGGTTTTAGGCATTCAGGGTCTAAAGCGCAGCACCATGGCTTCAGGCGCGGAACTGAAGGTCTTAGGTGAGAAGACCTAAACCCTAAACCCTAAACCCCGGTTTAAAGACCCCAATCCCCATGACTCCCTAGAAAAGCTCGGTGTGGCTCGCAGACCTGGTCACCACCCCGAGCTCAGCGTCAGAAATCAGCGTTGTGTCAACTCTGTTGTTTCCATACTATACTATACTATACTATATTGTATTAATACAATATGAAATTCATATCATATTATGCTACGGCCATGGTATGATCTTTGAAGATGAAGTCCATTGCATGTGATACAGGATCGCTTCACGAGTCTCCGGAACTGAACCTTCTACTAAGGCGGCCGTTGGAGTCTTCGTCCGGACCGGACGGCGCAAAGACAAAGCACGATGACCGGAAGCATTGCGAAACAGAACGCCTGTGACGACATGCCAACCCCTCCTTTTTGACCTTGCTTCTCCCCAGCTCTGTCCGATTTTTTAAGATACCACTACCGGCCCCGGCTGTGGAGCTCATCCAAGCTTTTTCGGGCGGCCTCGACGACCTGTTTTGCTTGCACATTCATGGTCTGAGGCCTGGCATGGTAATGTGATTGCTTACCACGCAGGTCTTGCTTCTTCGAGACAAAGATGGCTTCGGACTCCGCTGATCCGATGAGCTATGTGTGCACATACAGGTCGATCCATGCGTTATGGACAGCAGCAGCTTCCAGGCATGTAGCGTTGGGGACTTTCTTCGATTCGGGACGGGCCTCAATGCACTCCAGTCTATATCTGGGTGCCAATTCGAGCACCGCTGCTGAAACAACCCTGGCGCTAGACATAATCTGCCAAAACACCCCACCCTCTGTCAGCTAGATTACATCTTACACTCTCAATTGCAGCACCGGAAGCCCTGAATCCGTGTCCAAGTTGGCCCGAGCGACGGGGTCGTCCCAGAATGCCTTTGCGGCGCCCTCCTTGGCCAGGGCGGGCCTCTCGTGAAGCCGCCCGTCCTCATCCGCGGGAATGGGGGGTTTGGGAGGCATCCAACCCGAACCCAAGGCTTGTGGTAGGATTTCGATTATCGTTGGTGAAACGCCGCGACAGGTGGCATCGCGTTGGATTGCGAGAAACATGGGAGCTCTCCTTTCTGAAACCCTTCGGCTTCCTTCCGGGTGCAGCTTTGAAAAGAAACAGCTCGATGTCCAAGAAAGGATCGCTGAAGCACATAATGCCGTAACTTCTTTACTAGCTCTCCCTGATGTCTGCCCCTGGCGCCAAAAGGTATGAGCTTAGCAGTGTATTGGGCTCATAGAAATGCAGAACAAACTAGAATCCGGGCGTTCCGAAGCGAAAGCGTCATTCATCCAGCACTCCATAAACTCTTCGCTGTAAACCGTTCCATAAACCTGTCGAACAGCGCGAGGCCATGCGTTGGAATTTACGATGGAATTCTGCAAGGTATCGATCGTGCTGATCGGAGGAAGTGGAAACGCCGGCAGCACCGAGAGGATTGCAGAAGGGGAAGGGATCTCCTGTGTTGTAGGTTACACTGGATCGAGCTGATCGCAGAAAACACCGACAAGGTTATCTTTTTCTGGCCAAGTGGGGCCGTGTATTGGAAATTACACTGGACCGCATCGGCCCGAAACGATTACCAACAGTCGCCGCTAATACTGCCCCCGTGCTCCAACAGATATGAAACTAGTAGTCGGAGTTAGCATACTATCAGATATAGCAACGCATTATTGGGGACCCGAACATCAGCATCACATGAATATCATCACATCATGCAATCTCAAACACCAAAGCACAACAAACCTGGACAGCTCTGTCCCCTGCATGTGTCCAAGCTGCGCAGAACTCTCTGTCCGCGGCGAATCGGGGCACTTTCAAAGTGCCCCGAAACCACTTCGTGCCGTCGGAGTCTTTGCTCGTGACCACTCCTTGGCTGGGTTTAAGTGTTGGGTGCGTCTGCTCCGGGGCTCAACCAGAGTGAGGATGAGAATGCAACGAACGCTTTACAACGTACTGAACAACTTCGCCCTGCTATCCCTTCTTGCTCCGTGTTCGACGAATAAAGCCTTTATCATCACCCAGGCTCCATACTCCTCACAGGGACCTTCGGTGTTGCGTCTATGGTACAGCAACCTCAGCCAGTAGGATTACGAGAATTGCATGCGGCCTCACAACCGACTGCACACGCACCTACCTGAGCTGCACATTGCTGAGCCGGGCACTGCAAAAACTCCTGGACGGCAGATCTGAAGTTCGGTATTCCTTCGGGAAGGCCATCTCCAGAAAACTTCTGCCTTTTCCTCTTCTTGGCCTAAGGCAAGCTTCAAACTTGAATGCAGCCGCAGGAAACAGGGAGTGCGCTGTCATGGGGCCTGGGTGTTCAAACATCAGGTGTTTAGGTGTTGTGTAACATCCGTAGTCTTGCAGAGACATACATACAGACAGGCATAGATACATGCTTCACATAAGTGTATATACAAAGAGCTAGCATGTAGTGTTTCTATATATATGTATATATGCGGAATAATCGAGGGCTCAAGAAGACCTAGCTGAGCTGAGCAGGATAGCTGGGCCCCAGCACGTTTGTGCATCCGCCGGTCACGGGGAAGACTTCTCCTTCGTGGCATCGCAGGCGGAGATCTCACCGGTCTCAGACCAGAGCACTGGTGAAGGCTGGCGACCGGCCAAGAAGCGAGCGTGGAGTCTCTTTAGACACCACGCTTCCAACGAAAGCCTTCGTGCCCGCATTGTTTCTCTCATGGGAGGCAAGGCACCATGGAAGCAGCGCGGTGGCAGCGCCAAAGGCACAAGGCTCTGGCTACTGGCAATGGTGGTCGGGTACTTGGTCTCCCAGACGAGACCAGCAATCGGATCGATACGATGCTGTTGCGCAGTCTGAGACGATCAGCCAATGGTGCCGGGAATGGGCCCTCCCACAGAGAACATGAGGGTCATGCAAGAAATGCAGAAGGCTATCACACATGCGAGGCGAATGGACACAAAAGTGCGAAAGCTGGAGGCAGAGAAGATACAGAAATCGAAGCAGTGGGATCAGTACGCTGTAGACACCCGGGCGAAGTTCTTGAAGAACCGTCAAGCGTACGAGCAAGACATGATCCGCCTGGATCAGGAAGTGATCAGCACCACTACGGCTGGGAAGGAGGCGGCAGAACGCGTCAAACAGATTGTTCTGCAAGGTGCGGCTGCACTGGAAGAGGACATGCCTGTCGACCATTGGGCTGCTCCTTTCGAGACTGGGGACAAGCCCAAGACCTTCCGCCCTGCTACCAAACCTCCACCCGATAAGCAAGGATCTCTGCTCACAAGCTACCACCCTGTGTATAAACGACAGGTATAATTAATGGATTGTCAAACTCATACAAGTACGCCTTACAGCAACTCGGCTAGTGCTTGAATTGACATCGTACGAACCACCAGTGCAAAATCTTAGCACACCACATGATGCGCGCCCAAATACCAACAAAAGCAATAATAACGGACATTCGCATGAAACAACCATGTGCATAAATCTGCGCTTTCACACATCCAGGCCACATGGCAGCGGCCCCTTCTCAAAAAGGTCCCGAATTCCAGAATCGCTGGGAGCAACGAGAGACATGCATGTTCGTCCAACAGGACGGCCCAAAACCCCAAAACCTGAGTCCCAAGTGCATCTAAGCCAACTCTATGAGACTCTGAAAACTCTTTGGATGCCCTACTCTGAATGTTGATTGTATTCTATGCGAGAGTATAGGCCATCATACGTTTTCACAAAATCCGCCCCCAGGAGAAGAGCGGTGGATCACTGCAAAATCCCGGCCAAACAACAAATCCGAGCTTTCGTGGGGGATCCCAGAGCAAAAAGCGGACTTTCGGAGAGTTGCAGTTGAATTTGGCGCCTTTTGTGCACTTCTGTGCAGTTACTTTGCAGTCCTCACCTGCAAGTCTTTTCCCTGATGTATCAGCCATGATTCCCCAAAAGACCCAGCGTCCTGAATCCCAACCAAGAACCCTTGTTGCATAACCTGTTCAGGCATACCCTGGTGAAGCAAGAGAAGCCAAAGCGGCCAGCGGGGTGGCCGTTGCAGCCTTCTCTTGTCCCTGGTCACGGAGAATCTTCCCTGGGCTGGAGCTACTTTGCTCAAACTTACGGAACTCTTTGCGACGATTTCACAGTAACTTTCTGCAGGCACTTCACGTCCCGTCATGCCACAGGAACACCCGCGATAAAGTCTTTACGCTTGCTCTTGTGTCATCGCTACCATTCTTCTAGCTTACACAACCACTACTTATACCTCGTGCGGCTGATCTGAGGCACGCACGGGCTTGCTGCAGGAAGCCGATGGCCGCTACCCCTGCATTCCTTGGCTTCGTTTGTCGCTGCCCCTACCCCAAGACCTGGAGATCAGGTCTCGTGTAAGAAGGGTTTCAAGTGTATGCCGCCCGGTGTAATGCTTCGAGTCCACGTTTCAGGCTTTTGCAGTCTCGGCACCGGGCGTTGTGTTAAACATCTTGCGTGAGAGGTGTCACGTCCCATAGCATTTGCAAACCTAGAACTGCGAGACCACTCATCACTCCGACTACGACTACCACCAGTACCTCCACCAGCACAAGCACCAGCACCACCACCACGACCACGACCTACCACGCCCTACCACTGCCACCACCGCCACCAACAATGACACCGCTGCCACCACCGCTACCACCACCTCCACCACCCCCGCCACCAGAACCGTCGCAACCACGACCACGACCACTGCCACTGCCATCGCGACTGCTAGTGCTACCGCTACCAATACCGCTACCGCTACTCCTACTCCTCCTACTACTACGACTACTACCACCACTACCACTACCACTAGCACCGCTGCGGACACTAGCGCTAGCACAAGCACGAGCACTGGCACTAGCACTACCACTACCAACACTACTAGTCTACCACCACCACGACGACGACGACGACTACTACTACTACTATTACTACTACTACTACTACTACAGCTGTACTAC